AGGAAGCATTGAAGGACGGTGATGTGATGATTGTAAGAAGACCATTGGTGTAGCTCCTAAGTCGGTCAGAGCAGTTCATTTGTAAGCAACTTCGCGATAGGAGGTGGGGATTAGATAGCTAGGTTTGAGAATGCATATCGCTTGACGTTCGGCAGGGCTCATTGAGACTATATGGGCTTTGGCTCGAACCCATGGTAGGCGGTACTTGGAACCAAAGGGAATTGCAGGTCTGGCACATTCTGCGGAAGGCACGTATCGGTTAGTTACTTACTGGAGGAAGGGGAAGAGGTTTGGGAGCCTTGGCCTGCTTGTGAAAGTCGACTGTTATCATGCAATAGCTTTGTTTCAAGAAAATATGAAAGAACTCCAAAAAAAAGTAGAAAGTTAGAAAAACTCATGGTCTTTTTGCAGCAAAAAAATATTTCCTTTCTTTTTTAACATAAAAAGCTTCGTCTTTTTGGATTTAAACTCATTTGTATAATTATAAAAAACTTCGCCTTCTTGAAGTTCTTCTTTTTCTTTTAAAACATCTGTAATTCCTGCAATTGTTTATTTTTTATGGATTTAATCGATACGTCTTTTCGCACTTTGTTATATGAATATATTATCAATCAAATCAAGCTAGCCCTTAGGTAGAGAAACGTTTCTGTAAAGCGAAATCAACACAAGCGAAAGTATCTAATCTTTAAACTGCTTATTATACAATTGAACTTTAACCAATATTGCGTGATACTCATTATTAAAGTATTTAAATAACAGCTTGGATGGATACGATTGCAAAAAAAAAAAAAAAAACATGAGTAGTTTTCAAAAAGATAAATATTTACAAATCAAGATAAATAAGGTGCACATATATAAGGACTAAGCTGATTCTTCGTCCTGACATGAATCAGTGTTCCTATTTTTGCTTGCCGATTCACTATACAGGAGCGCCGCGCCACCATTCAATCTTGTCTGTCTAGCCATTTGATCTTCGTGCTCCGTGCTATCGTAAGGAAGAATCAAGTTGAGGATAACGGACATGATGCCTGCCATTATATATCCAGTACTAACGACAGTTGTGATTGCAGATAAAAAGCCTTGCAAGGCTAGGTTTTCAGAACTAGGCAAGACGTAGGTAAACCAGTCAGGAACTAATGAAACACCTAAAGCAATGGCAAGTGATGAGGCAACAATCACACGATCACGCCTTGTCCAATCCAAATATCCAAGAATGCGTACACCAGAGGTAGCGACAGAAGCAAACAGGAATACTGTCATGCCTCCGATCAAGGGAGAAGGGATAGCCAAAAAGGCAGCAGCGATCTTACTAAATACGCCGCAGATGATCAAGAGAAAAGCGCATACGGCGCCTGAGCGGCGATTAGCGCAGCGAGTGACAGCGATCACACCATTGTTTTGACTAAAGGTAACCACACCCATACTTGTAGCTAACCCAGAAAAGATACCAGAGATACCATCAGCTAATAACCCACCTTGGCAACGTTCCTCAAATGCAGAGCCTTCAATAGGCAATCCAGAGACATCACAGGCAGCTGTCAAGTCTCCCAGACATTCAATAATCATGTTGAGCTGTACAAAAAGAAAGGGAATAACACCAGGGCCATGAAGCGCCCACTTGAAATGCTTTACCCATAAGAATGTACCAACAGGAGCACTGGCAATACCGGAGCTATCAAACATACCCACAGAAGCAGCAATAATGCACCCAATGATTAAGCCAATAACAACAGATATGTTCTTTAGAAAGACTGATCCTACCAACTCGATAACAATAATCGTAAAGAAGACAGACGCGCCAAGGGCAAAGTTAACAGGGCCTCCCCAGGGCTGAGCATGAGGAGCCGATGCGCTTGGACAGAGTGTGAATGGACCACTGTTGGGTCTACTCATACACGGGCCTGAACCTCCAGCCCAATTTTCCATACCAGATGTCAGCAAGGTAGCCCCGATCACAATCAAGACAATACCAGTGACCACTTTTGGAAAGAGTTTACGGATCACACGTGGGGATAAGAAGCTGATGGCAATGGACAGCAGTGCACAGAGCATCTACGTTTACACGTTAGATAAGAAAAGCTGTATGAATCATCACGAATATTAAATAATATACCTGAGTCCCCAGTACAGCGCCAAATGCATCTGGACATGGCAAGTAGCTGATTGTTCCGTCAGATAAGGTCTCGGTTGGGCATTCTCCACCTGGAATAAAGGTTAGTCATGTGTTCTGTTATATTTCTGGAGATATGATGCTTACTTTTATACATGTTTTGAATCAAAGCCTGCGCAGCAGGCACATTACAAAAGGCAACACCTGTGATTTGAAGTAAACCAGCTCCAATGTAAAAGCGTGTTTTAGGGATTCGAATTCGAATGATCTGTACTAGACTAAGTACACGTGTATTAGTCATTATTTTGACATGTAGACACCCAAAGTAGGAACTTGCCTCATCAGCCCAGACACAATTAAGGAAGCTGATATCATATATCTTCGAGTATCTTCATCAAGGTTCAAATTAGAACTTCCTTGTCCTGATATTATGATGGTAGGCGTGATGATACCACCTATGACAGCTAAAAAATCTATTGTAAAGGTAAGTCACTGATTACTAGAGAGCATAAAACAATCTATTTACGCTGAATGCCCATGAGAATAGTGACAAGAATGGGAATGTCATCATCAGGTCCATAAAAGGGCGATTGATTAGCTCGACGTGATATAAATGGAAGTCGAGGCATACTAGGTAGTAGAAGAGAGGGTTATTAAGAAATGAAAGATATCAGAATGTAAAATACCAAAGCGCGCGATAGTCATAGTTGCCTATCCATCCATCTCTTGTAGTTAGCTTATATTTTAGATGTGACCATGATGCAGTAGGAGCAATAACTGGAGTATAAATATCGGAGAGATCATGTATATTCTCTACTTTTATTTCATCAACTTGTTTCTTTTCTGTAAAAGACATGAGTTGAACAAAGAAGAAAAAAAAAAAGAAGAAGAGATATGATATTTATATAAGAAACATGTCAGTTATCTTTTTTTTTTCAAATGACCCATGTCCCTTTGAGATAATAAATATATTTATATATAAAACTCAAATTAGGAAATGTATATACAGAGATTGATTATATCTTGGTTATTTATAATCTCGTCTTAATAAGACAAGATCATCCTATTGAATCATATAGTTTAAGATAGGCACATATAGAAGGTTGTTCCTCGAAATAGTTCATCAATAATCAAACGATAATAGAAATATACCTTCTATACCTGATACTTGTTCCTATCTTATCATGCTAAGAGTTATCTGGTGCATGTGAAAATGATTGGTTACGGTAAATAAAAAAGATACATCATAGTTGAATTGCTGTCAGTGCATTTATTCTATCAGCAAGTGTTGATATCTTTGATTAGCATACAAAGTATGTATAGATCAACATCAGCTTGCTATAAAAAGAGAAAGAGAGACAGTGAGGATGCTATTAAAAAGGAGCAAATTTTAGAAAAGATAACCACAGATAGAGAGAGATAAAAACATTAACCTGGTTGGTTGAATTTAATTTTTCCTTTTTCGAGATTTTTCTGTTTGCTGTTCTCTGTGATCATTCTTTCTTTGTTCGAGACATCGCACGTTTAACATTATGCCATGTTTTGTTGTCATTCTATCTTTTTACTTTTTATTGTTATTACTGCCATTTCAAACCAACGCCTGACCGTATTCTATTGCTTTTATTAGCCATTAAAGTTTCAGAAACTAATGACTTTTTGATTGAAAAAGAAAGAGTAACCAAATTGAAAACATACTGATCAATCTCTGCTTTTGTGATTTCAAATTCAGACTCTAGTTAGAAAGCCACTCATAATTTTTTTTTTCCCTTTTTGCACATAAAAATGACTGAACAAGATACACTTGAAAACTGCAAAGAAAAGTTTGTCAACCTCATATCTGAACTCAATGACAGTCAATTTCACGAGTTCCAACAATTTGTTGCCACAGCCATGGGTAAGTCTTTCTTTTTAATGCGTTCAAGCTTGGACTGCTTTGACAGATTTAAATTATTCAAGATCAACAATCTTTTGGTTTATAGAGGAATATCATAGTCAACTACATAATGACCAAGATATAGAAATGGAAGAGCATGATGGTGATTTTCAGCCTGTGAGTGACTTGAAAATGATGCGATTAGGAAGAATCATCAAGGATCTTCGTGCACAAGTACCCGTGTCAGCAGAAGCACCTGGAGAAAAGATTGTGATTCCAGATACAGATGAAGTAAGAATGTAATATTGTATTATGGAGGATTATTAATATTATGAAAAGTTTAAAGAATACAATCAAGATAATACAGTTCATGTAGATAGTTTCTTATTTACAGAAGAAGACGTGGATGACTTGGTTGATGAAGGCAAGATGTCACGAAACTATTGCTTAGACTGTAAATCAAAGAAGGTTAAACCATTGAGTAAGTTATAAGCATGTAAATCTACAGTAAACTCATCCGATCCTTTAGATTTCATCTCACACTCTGCTTCGGTCTTACAGTTACAATTTCTATATCAAGTAGCATTGGCTAGTTCTGTAAAGGATAAAGTGGTTGTCGATATTGGCTCTAGATTAGGAGCAGTTTTATATACTGTATGTCATATATTTTTATATTTTATAGTTTATTAATCTGTAATCTAGGGATATTTGTTTACTAAAGCTCGTAAACTTATTGGAGTAGAAATTAATGAATGGTTTAGTAAACTACAACAAGATATGATAAAGAAGTATAAAATGGAAGACAGAGTACAAGTTATCTGCAAAGATATTCAAACTATGCCAGAGCTACTTAATAATGAAGCAGACGTTGTCATTATGAATAATGTCTTTCAATTTTTTAATCAGCTTGACGTTCAACAACAAATATGGAAGTTTATTCGCACAGAAACTAAAAAGAAGCCTGGTTTATTATTAGTCACTCTTCCTTCCTTACAGGAACAATTAAAATCTGCTGGTTTATCTGCTTCTAAATTGATGAAGGGATGGGTAAAGGAAGTTAAACTTCCTTATGATCAAGGTTACTTTCAAGAGATAAATGAAGACGAATTGGACGAGATTAAACAAGTTCACTTGTATAAAGTTTTGTAAATAAAAAATGTGTTGTCAGAATCATTTATTTACAATAAAAAATTTAGTGACTTTTTTATTTTTTCCTTTCTTTCTTTCTTATACAACATATATAATGAGTGCAAAACTGAAGCAGCTGTTAAAGAGGTCAGCAGTGCTGCTGGAGCCTCAAGATCGAGAGAGTCTTCCAATTGTTGGAAAAGATGCTGAACAGTTATTGAAACACTTTGCTGCTCAAAGTGAAAAGATACAGGCTTCAAAAGAACAACAGGCTAAAGCGTAAATACATGTACATATTCGTAAAGAAAAGTTGCTAATGTGCAATATATATAGACACTATTTTCTTGCAAGTAATGGAATCAACATACAAAGCGACATTAGACCAACAGACATTAAATATGCATTTGACACTATACAAATGGACAGTCATACAGATATTGAGGTACATACAACAAGAATACAACGCATATACATGCATATGTAACAAGTATAATATTAGAAATTCCTTACTGAAGAACATGAAAGAATATTGATTGATGTTATTGAAGAACAAAGGCGTCAGGTACTATTGCTATTATTATAAAAGTTGACCACGTATAATGACGCGTTTTTTATCAAAAGGACGATGAGGACTTTAAACAGTTTTACAGTACTCAGCTTGACTTATTTACAAAACACATGGAAGAAGAACAAAAGGATGCAGAAGAAAGCAAGATAGAGATTAATGAATTATCAAAGAATATCAATGTAAACAGTTTATTAGAAAAGCATGTGCTTAATCATTAACACCTTATGCTTAGAGAGTGAACCAATATGCCTTCATCATCAAGACCCTTAATGATTGTAGAATTAATAATGATGACTTTAATTTAGTAGAACAACTGTCAACAGTTCAAAACACATCCGATTTGACAAGAGTAAAAATGAGAAAAAACAAAATGAAAGATACAAAAATATTAAAGATCATTATGTAGTTTCAAGCAAGCGTCAGCCAGGCTTGGGATATATTAAGTTACTTTATGAAACAAACAGATAATGAAGGTCGGCGTGAAGGACGATTTACTAGAAGCTATCTTGTTCAACCATATCAAAGTTTCCCTGCTGTTGAAACTAGACGCAAGCTCATTGATGCATCAAGATCATGGCTAGAAGAACAGTAATAGATTATTCCCCATATTCAACAAATATTAACACTTTTCAATAGATTCCTTCAGACGGTTAACGAACAATTACATGCTCATGCAACAAAGCTAAAGATTGGAGGAAACCCATATATAACTCACCGTCTTGAGGCATATATCAATCTCAATTACAAGACTGTGCTTGGATGGAGAGAGAGCAGGTTAGAGATCGTGCATGGGCTGCCAATTTGGTTGTTTATCTATTTATTACTCCGTACTGGCCATACTCAAGTAGCAGCTGATTATATCAAGGAAAACAAAGACATATTTCGTTTTGATAAAAAGTTTGTGGCCTATTTTCAAGAATACATAGAATCACCTCAGCATTGGTAAGATCACCTTGCACATATCAGAAATCAATACTCATATTTTTGTCTCTAGTGTATCCAAAGAAACTCATGATGAAATTTTGGCAGAACACTATCGTCTTGAATATGGTGAGGGAAAGGCTGACCCCTATAAATCTCTTCTCTATAAAATCATTGGTCGTTGTGAACTAAACAAAAAGAGCACTGCGATCATAAAGAGCCAGGACGACTACCTTTGGTTACAGGTGGGTTCAGGATGATATAAACATGAACCGTCGCGTTAATGAATATATAATATACATATAGCTTATGCTAGTCAGAGAAGTGACTGATACCGAAAATTATGCTTATCAACGCTACAGACTGCAAGACTTGCAAAACCATACGCCTATCATGGCCGAAACTCAAAAGGATGACGTCTGGGCTCAGTTCAAGCTGTTACTGTTGACGCTTCAATTCGAAAAGGCAATTGATTTTATCCATACAGGAAACAAACTCTGGCTAGAAGCAACACATTTTGCTACTGCGTTAGCTTACCATGGTCTACTCAGAGTTCCTTCTGCAAGTCAAGCAAAGACTGAAAGAAATATGCGTAAGTGGTATATTCTTGATCGCAAAGGGACATTTATATAACTTTTGTATTATTCAGTTATCATAGATCAAAATGGATTGACCTTGTTTAATTTCCCAAGGCTTATTTACCAATACGTCCAAATCCATCTCCCAACTCGACCGATAGAAACACTTCAATACCTTTACCTCTTGTCACTTTATTCAACAAAACAGGGTTATCACAATGACGAGATGATCTCGCTTGCGAAATCATATCTATGTAAAGTAACTGTAAAGAGTCAAAATCATAAAGAATTCATAGATATCATTTACGGACAAAGAGAGGTAAGAATGAATCATCTTTCTCAATGAAAACTCATAATTCATGATTCATTAGCCTTCTATCCTTCAAAGTCAAAAGGTTCTTTTAGATATCAATTCAGATCAAGAGTACGCACAACAGATACTGTATCCTGTCGCTGACCTGTTACTTCAGTCTGGTCACTGTAGAGAGGCGATTGACGTGTGCAAATTATCTATTGTAAGTTTAACAATGTAAGCTATATGCTTCCCTGGTTTCTGACATTTCTTTTTAGGACTACAACAAACTATTTGATGTGTTGGCAAAGGAATTAGGCGATGTACTTCAGCAATCGAAGCTCTCAAGGCTATCTGATACAACAGCCAGTAATAAAGACATACTTCAGTTTGCAACACAAACGGTGCAAGAATGTCAGCAACAACAGCATCTGAAGGCACTACCAAACACAGATAAGGTATTCACTGTGCATCTATTGATGCAACTTGTCCGCTTCCGCATGCTTTACGAACAAGGCGAATTCTTTCCTGCTATCAGCATTATCCGAGAGACACAACTGATTCCATTTGATGAACAATTGGGACATGTTCAACTGGCTGCTGAACAGTTTGAGCATTTACATGAAACCATCAAGAAGAACATACCTGAAATATTACTAAACGTTATGGACATTTTATACAAGCTTTGGGAAACATATTCATCTGCTTCGTTGAATGTAGCTATATCTAATAATGTAAGTCAATGTATTCTTTATTATATAGATACTGACACATGGACAAAGACTATAGAAGATGTTGAAAAACAAGCTCGTGCTGTTTTAACTTTTGTAGGTATAATTCAGTTTAATATACCAGCAGAAATTCTCGTAAAATTAAACAAGTAAGTGGTCATCTTTTTTTTTCTAAACACGTAAACTTATTATACTACTAGAATTGATATGCTTATGGCACAGAGAAGAAGATTATAGAAACAATCACAATAAAAGCATAAAGCAATAATCATACTTTTTCTTTTTCCTGACGATAATGAGTTATTTACAAGTAGAAGAAGATAGTATTAGAAAGGGCTTTTTCATATTCACATATCATTTATTATTTTATTTAAACCATTTGTTTGCTTCTTTGCTTCAAGAATTTGCCCAAAGGTGTTCCTTCAAAATCGGTTGCTCTCAAGAAAGCCATGGCTTCTTCTAGCTTTGAAGGGGTATACTCAATGGGAGCTCGTTTTTGTTCTATAAAGTTTTTGTGTGTTTCTAATCTTTCTATGAGTACTCGAAGAGACCTTGCAAACTTTGTTCCCTTTGATCTTGATGCAAATTCCTTGAGTTTATCAACAGCAGGTATCACCAGCTCTGGAAATGCAATAGAAAGACCAAGACAGGCATAAAAGTCTAAAAGGCAATCATAGGCTGCATTATAGACCGCATCTTGGTATTCCTTGGTCTGTAAGTATGATTTAGGTGTCTTTAAATGTAAATTCCAATTAAACTCTGGTAAATCAGCCTGCTTTGATCTTCCCTTGAACACTTCTTCTGATAATGTTTCATACAGGTACGATGCAAGTGGGATGTAATAGCCTGTTGAATCGATAAAAGTGATGAGTGTTCGGATGAGATGTATTCTAAGAGGAAGAAACTGCGAGACGGGGTTCAGACGCATAGTGTGTAAGCAAAGGTCAACTAATGGATGCACCACTGCTTGCATTGGACTTGTTTCGCCTGTGGTTGGATCGCAGGTCACAGAGATGACATTTGCCCAAAAGTCTAAACAGCTGATATATTGCCAAGTATAAATTCGCTTGAAGCTCTCTACTGTCTTTTCCTTTTTCGCCTTCTTCAAGTGATCAGCTAGTTGACTAATATATACATGAGCATGCTCATAACTAAGCTGATGATCCACTGTATAGAGGTCTGCTGCTTCTTCCAGCATTTGTTGAATGACTGAGAAACTTGTCTCGTTCAGTTTAGTGGCGCGATGAGCAAAGACAAGGTAAACTCCCTTCAGAACATTTGGCATATGGTTCTTACGGTTTGCATCCAGTGCTGCCGTTCCCAATTGACGAACCGCTCTGTAGCAACATTGTCGTGTTTCTTCAGAAAGCCCCACATCTGACCAACGATCCAGCAAGACTCGCAAGTATTCTGTCAATATCTTTGGGAATGGGCCAAAGTAAAGTGTACATGGCTCCAATTGCTGTAAGACATACTGGATAATATCGTCATCAGATAACTCTCGAAGGAATCGAACACAGTTGTTGAGGAATAAACGGATTGCTTTCTCTAACTTGGGCCAATTCTTTGTCTTGCCAGGGTATTTTTCCTTCTTTAAAAAATAAATGTGCTTACTCAAGATGGGATATGCTGTCTTTAACGTGTATTTTACAAGTTTAGTATAGACTAAATAATTCATGTTAGGCCATACGTATATATCTCTGACTACTATGATGTACCTTTGCTACTACCCACATGATAGCTGAATTCAGTGTTGTCGCCTGATCTGACGATAGATCTGAAAGCCATCAAAAGCTTCTTCCAAGCAACAATTGACTTCTTGGAAGCTGCTAAACACCATTCATTCAACATGTCCATTGTCACTGGTTCTGAATTATCATCCTTCTCTTCTTCGATATCTTCATCTTCCTCCATACTCTCATACTCATCTTCATCCTCTTCACTTTCTTCTTCTTCTTCTTCATCACTCAAAGCGGGTTCCTCTCCTTCTTCCTCATCCATATTTACATTGTCTTCAAAAGTATCCAATACATTCAAGTCACTCTCTTCATCATCACTCAAGTCAAGTTGCTCTTCTGGATCAATAATAAAGTTGCAAAAGTAATCTTCAGTGTTAATCTGTGGGACACTATAACAGAGTCAGTAAAATCTTCTTTCCTTTTTTTTTAATCCTTTTACTTTTCTTCTTTTTCCTCTTCTTTAGTTGATGGTTCGTCTTGATTGGATTGTCCTTGATCTACTTATATAAGTATTTCATTGATCTATTAAATATATAGTGTACCTTTACTATGGTGCTTTGAAGCAGCACGACGAATCTGACGTCTTTGCACCTGTCGTTTAAACTTGTTGACTTCCTTTCTCTTCTTGACAACGCCCTTAAGCTTTGTCTTTTGAAACTTGATGGTTGACTTTTTCTCTTTTTTAGACATGATTGAATAAAAAGAGAATCTATCAACTTTTAAATTAGGAAAATATAGACTGTCTTTTTCGTGGCTTATCGCATTAATTTCCTTTTTTGAAGTCAAGTCTATAGGACTCTTTCTTTTTTCTACATGTTTACTTTGACACCACCTCTGAACAGAGGCATGACGGTGTTTAACCGTGATGCCTTTAAGAAAGTGTTAACAGTAAAAGCAGTAAAGGTGCCTTCAAAGAAGGTTCATTTGTTTACAAAGACTTTATCAATGTATGTGAGCTGTCTACGAAAAAGAGACTCTTCTTTGTTCTAACAGTTGAATACAGGAGTTTATTCAATCAACCGAGATTCCGTAATGTTTTCTCTGCACCTGATGATAATGATGCAAGGTTGGTGTTGTTAAGAGGGGATTTAGAAAGTATAGGTTAGAAAGATAAAATGTACGCGTGATAAAAAGATACGCTAACATATGCATAAACACACAGAGGAACTATCACCAACAGAACAGGAACTAATAAAAAATGAGGCACTGGGCTTTGTTTCTCATGAAATCACTTTAGACTATGACTACTGGAACTCTGGTAAGGTTAAAGAAAATAAAGACTATATGGATGGCTAACCGGTCTCTCCGTAGAACAAATACTTCGATCTGTTATTCCAGAAGAACTCGAGATTCCCTCGTCTTTTACGCAGATTGGACATATTGCACATTTAAACCTAAAGGAACAGTATTTTCCATGGAAAAAGATAATCGGTCAAGTTATTTTAGATGTAAGTCATCTTGTTTTTATGCATATTTTTCTATTCATATAAACTAGAGTTATTATTAGAAAAACAAGTATGTCAAAACTGTTGTGAATAAAACCGATCAAATAGATACTACATTTCGCTTTTTCAAAATGGAAGTATTAGCAGGTGAAGATGATATGATCGCTGAAGTGGTAAAGAAGTCAAGTATTACAAAGAACATCACTGATACCTGTTGTTTAGAGAGAAAATGGATGTAGATTCAAATTTGACTTTTCAAAGGTGTATTGGAACTCACGATTACACACAGAGCATGAGAGATTGATCCAACTGTTTAAGCCAAAGGAATATGTCTGTAAGTACAATCATCTTGAATTAGAACATGAATAGCTTATGTGTGTGATTAGGTGATGTGTTTGCAGGAGTGGGTCCGTTTGCTATCCCATCAGCCAAGAAAGGATCGATTGTATATGCTAATGATCTTAACCCTGCTTCATTTGAGTGGATGAAAGAAAATATTAAGATAAACAAGTTAAAGAGTGGTATTCACCCTTACAACATGGACGGAAGAGAGTTTATCAGACAGGCAGTAAAAGATCTTCAATCAACATCAGAAAACGAATGGAAGACATTTGATCACTTTGTAATGAATTTACCAGCAACAGCTATCGAGTTCTTGGATGCTTTCCGTGGAGCGTACTATGATTATAAGCACTTGTTTAACGCAAACTCCAAGCTTCCTTACATCCACTGCCATTGCTTCACCAAAAGCCCCGATCCCAATCAAGATATCATTGAGGTAATAAGCTAGCTGTGATCTTTATTTGCAGTCAACTTACACAACTTGTAGCGAGTGACTAAAGTGCTAGGAGAGACACCTGATCCTGTCAAGACCAATCTTCACTATGTTCGTAATGTAGCACCCAAAAAAGACATGTACTGTATATCATTTCCACTTAGTGACAAGGTTGCATTTGCATCACCAGAGTAAGGAGCGAGGGGGAGAAACAATAGAAGAAAGAAAAAAAAGCGAATGGTTGACGAACTGTATTTAATAGTGAAAAACGCAAAATGGATGATACAAATGTAGAATCTAGCGTGGCTCAAAAGAGAAGAACAGAGAGAACCGGTGATAATTAAACAAATAAAATAGACAAGCTGTAATGAGCCAGAATCGTCGTTATCAGTATTAAAATGAGAGATTATGTTTTATTACATTAGTATACAACCACAGCTATCCAAGAATAGCCCCTCCTTATCCCTGTCAACATTAAATTGCTGGTTTTTTATCTTTTCTTGATTCAGCCGTCTAATCTCACGCACGATCCCATAAAATGCGTCATCTATCCTGATTCCTTGTTTGGCGGATGTTTCAACAAACTGACAGCCATACTTTTTAGCTAATTCCTTTCCAACTAGGATAATATAAAAAATAATGGACACATATGAGAAGTAATACGTACATACCTTGAGGTGATACTTGTCTATCCGTTTCAAGATCGCATTTATTACCAATTAAAATGACAGGAAATACCTCGATATCCTTAACTCGTTCAATTTGACTATACAACTTTTGAACTTCTTCAAATGATCGGAAAGAAGTGATAGAGTAAACCAACAAGAATCCTTCTCCAATTCGCATATATTGTTCTCTCATGGCACTATAGTTGTATAATGATACATCTTAGTCTGGTTGAATATCCAAATTTCCTGTTTACCTATATTCTTCTTGTCCAGCAGTATCCAGAATATCCAATAAGGCACCCTCATTATCAATAATACACTGCTTACGATATGAGTCTGTTTAAATAAATTAATAAAAAAAAAGGGAAATATGCACACGTATTTTGAAAATAGTTCACCTTCGATCGTAGGATCATATTCATCAATAAAGTGTGATTGAATAAACTGAATGGTCATGGCTGATTTACCAACACCTATTCTCTAAAAGTGAGTATCCGCTTTTGTATGATATGGATGACACACATGTTACCTCCTTCACCCACTATGACTAATTTGTACCTAGTAAAATGGTCAACGTTTGGTATTATTTTTAACAAACTATTTTTACTCTCTTAGTATCGAAGAGGACTTGGACATGAATAAAGAATGATTTAAAAAAGGAGAGAGAGAGAGAGAGAAAGAATAAGAGGATAGACAGATATCATCAAAAAAAAAAAGGAGACCAGAAGGGACAATGAAAACTAACAATATTTTTTATTGATGCTTTTTGGATGCTAATTGTATGGATACTCCTAAATTATCTTGAAGATCAACACAGTATTCTTGGACGTTGTTATCTTGATCACAAAAGTCATAGTCAATAGATATGACACCGTCATCTTGGAATAAAAGTTGGTTATAAACTTGTTCATTATAGAAATGCTGATATGGATCTATGTTCAAGTGTAATTCTTCTGGTATAAAATGCTGGATATTATTGTCAATGAATGACTGTTGTTGATGATGTTGCTCTTGAATGAATGATGCTTCACACTGAGTCTGTTCTTTCTCTTCCTGCTTGTCTTGACTCAATTGACTATTGTTCATATGGATTAGGTTCATCTGCTCCTGTTTCTGTTTGGCAGATGATTTTCCTTTTTTTCTCTTCTTCCCATGCTGATATTGTCTAATGGTCGGGATGACTGGATCTTCTCTTTCTTTCCTTTTCTTCTTTTTTTGTTCATCTTGTGGTATATCCATAGGTGTCATCGGTATCGGTGTCATACTGTGCTCCCTTTCAACGCTCTTACAGTTTCGGTACTGTCCTTGAAGATCTTGTAGGGCACAGTTCAATAAAGAGTGACCCGTAGCACATTGAGGTAGCTTGGATATAATTTCGATGCTGTAGCTGTAATTTTTATCTGCGTTGAATTTATCGGCATAACTGGGAGTAGCCGCGTTCATGACATGTATACGAAGCGCGATCATCAGGGCATAAGCCAAGATAGATGACTTTGAATGATACTGAATCAACTCATTGACATCCAAACGATAAGCAGAGTCTGTGATCATGATGGCAGCATAACTGCAAATATCATTTGAGGGACGACTATTGTTGTTTCGTACCATCTCATGAACATATGGACGGTGAAGTAAGATCAAGTTTGCCAACAGGAACATTTTCTTTTCAAATCCCAAACGCTTTGACAGGGTCGTTTCTTCTCTTTGTATTATAACCGGTTGATTCATGGGTGACTCAGGTTCATCCTTGGAAGGATACATGATATCAGTCAACCATGAGTCAACGCTAGCCAAAAATGCATTATGTCTCTAAAATAATGAGGAGTGTTTTTCTCTTTGACAGAAGGGGGGGAGGAAGAAAGAGAAAGGAGGAAGGGGAAGCAATTCACATTAATATTTACCTTAACAGGACTTGGCATTTCGAAAGGAGGCGGAGGGCTATAATTAAATTTAATTACGCGTGCAGCAATCTTGCAGAGTGATATCGTTGTGTTAAGGCCCTCTACCCATTCGGTAACAGACTCGTCATCATGAATAGATTTTGAAGGTGGAGAAACATCACTATAGAAGTATGAGTAAGCAGACCCCATGATTACCTAGTCATACCTACAAGACCTTCTCTTCTGTTGAGCATGGGCGGCCATAGGCCATACTAATTGTACAGTCTGTTATAAAAGCAAGCCAGAAAGCTCTAATACAGAGTTGGCCATGCATGTCTTCCTCAACGGATATCATGGACCGGTGAATTCCCAAATCGAGCGATAGGCGGAACGCTTCTCCGGACCAAAGCCATGCTTGTGTCAGGTTCTCTGGTAATTTTGTTTGTTCCATGTGGTTAGCCAAGATTACCAAAGCCAACACTGTACTAACCCTCGGCAGATCCTGGTAAAATGGTCGTAGATAGATGGCATATTGTAGACACTCGTTTCCAATCTGTTCAAAGGACTTGCCCTCGTCATTGAATCGGTCCTGCGCAAAGCTTGATGCTCGAGCAAAAAGAGCATAAAAGAATAAAGGTGATAGATAGGTGGGTTCATGGTGATTGATCAAGTAGAGCTGGTCTGCCATTTCCTTTTTATTTAGTAAAGGATAGTATGGGTTAATGTTTGCATAATAAATATCTAATAAATAAAGTTGATCATTCATGCTTAAGGATGGTACCGATGGTGGTGCATTTATAGCTGGAAACTGATGTTCCTCTCTTATGACAGATCTATGATCCTTGAAAAGATCGGCATAAGCACAAAAGGATGTCTCTCCGACATAGTGCCCACTATATAATAAACTTGGTTTGCGGACTACAGTATTTGATGGCATGATTTCTTTCCTAGTTGATCCGCTCATAGTGTCGTCCTCTAATTCTTTATGATAGATACAGGGGCAATTGCCTTTCCTTTCACATGGCTCATTATCCATATTGTTGTTGTCACATTTTATCTTCTTCTTCTTGCAAACATCACAGGATTTTTTACTTGCTTTAGGTTTTTTGGAGCCAGTAGGGCTTGTAGCTGAGGGGCAGAAAAATTTAAATTCTACATCCGGAGTTGTGGGGTTCCGTTGCATGCTTATTATGTCTTTTACTTGTCCCTTGAGCATGTTTAAAGAAGGGAAAGGCAACGGTGGCGGTTCTTCGTACATTGATATATATATATAAAAAAAAAGAAAAATAGAGTTGACAAAAGAAAAAAGGGCCATTTTTTACCATTGAATTTGTGTATCAGGATTTCTATTTTGTGCTCCGACATCTTTTGCTTTTACGAGCATCTCTGTCTCACATAATAGCAATGTGTGGTCTTTACCTGAATTGGGGAGGGGGGGGGAAGGATAAACTGCTCTTTAGAGAGAAAAAATGGTTCAAAGGCCTGAGAACATTCATTTTTACTCTAGTTGCATAATGAACGAGAAATAAAGAAAACCACTGTCCCAATTGATTCAAGTCAATGGATAGGTATTTTGCAATGAAAATGCATTGTCCACAAATACTTAGTACTGATCAAATGCTTACTAATATGTAGATGCACCCCAAAATAACACAAAAAAAAAAGAGATGCACTTTGTGCAAATGAATAAGGTGTACAAGTATGTAAGTCATAAAGTACAGTATCCTCGTTTTGTTCTTTTTTCAAATGTAGACTATACCTTCTTTACAGTGCTTCTACCACCAATTTGGCTGTATTTACTTCTAATGTCCTTGTTGTCTGCAAATTATTTAAGAGCGTTGGAATTTATAGATTGGAATAGGCAACCAATCTCATATGGTACTCCTCCTCTCGCCCACAAATAATCAGTGACGTGTTTGATATGAATCATTATAATACTTTATAACCTTACAGTAAAGCATACATTCTACTTTCTTCTACTGCACCTGATGATAGATAGTGTCATTGACAACATTAATATTCTCCTATAACGTTCTCATTCAAATTTTATTTCAGTAGTCATTGACTTAACCGCCTTATTTCAAATAACAAGTTAAAGCTGAATACAACAATCAATAATAGAGCCAACATTATATTATTTGAAGCGGATACTGACAATTTGCAAAGCAGGATCCATAAACATGAGGTTATTACACTGTTTACGAGCCGAAATCTGTTTGAAGGAAGGTCGAAGCTTCTGATAATTTGGTTAATATGATGTCTGAAGCCTATAGTGCTGTTCTTTTTCAAGCACCAACAAAACATTTGGAGACATATTTTAGTTTAAATTCTCTTTTTTGTTTTTCTTTTTCAATCAAGGTGTATCTGACAAGGAAACAAGCCCTTTGTTTACTATTTTGTGTCGAATACAATCAGAAAAATGTTGAAGATCTTAAAAAGCGGATGGAAGACTTAAAAGGCTTGGAAATATGCTACAAAGATGATCCAACAAATCCGTTTCTACTGCTATTGACAAGACTTAATGCTACTGCGTACACCTATAAAAAATACCTTTCAAATGGCGTATTTGGTTTCATGAAAAGGAAGACTTGTCACTAAAAATATCTTCAATAAAATTGTTTTATGTTGTAGATACTGAAGCGCAGATTATGCGATATTTGAACGAAACATAATTGTCACAATACCCCCCTTCGCTGGTGAATTTTATGAATTCCAGCAAGTATTGACAACCGAAATATTCGCGAATTTGATGCAATGCACGTCCTTTTTTTAACTAGAAAGCTCCTCATGGGCTTTCAAACTTGTGCGGCAAGAAGGAATTAAAATTCTTGAAAGCGAACGCTGACAGAAAGAGGCTGAAGAGTGATTCATCAATTGGCAAACATAGATTGCTCTACGTATTGAAAAAAAAAAAAAACACCATCGTAAGTATTACGATTAAAAATAAACCGCCATATTATTAACGAAAGAATGTTAAAAACGCTCTTAATAAAGTACAGCTGCTTCTTTATAAAAAAATCACCCTTCGGCACTGTTTGCACTATATCCATACAATCTGCCTTATTAAGCAAAAGAAAATCGTGATACAGATTTCTGGTTACTACAAACAAATGCTACAATACATGCACATGACAAAAGTGTCTCTTTATTCTATGTACTCTGCACTATTGTCATTTTATAAATTGTAGTCTTTAAGCTATCTTGATGGATAACCAGCACTTTACAATAGCTGCATGTGTGATGTAAATACAGTGTGTGAGCCTTTTTTTCTATATTTGAGAATGGTCAAGAAGTATATTAGAATCATATGAAAAAAGAATGAATATGAGTATGGTCTATTAGCTTTTCTCTCCCCTCAGGACAACGCCATAGCTTCTTTAAATAGTAAAAATGATAGCAAGGACACTCATAGACCGAAAAATCTGTACAATCTCTTTATTACTCTTTTTTTTAAACTGTAAACCTATTCTCGCTTGTTTTTGCTGCGCTGTCTCCATGAGGTGTAAACTCCACATTTGTTGCAGTACCAAGGTTAAGGAATTCTTTCAATTGGCGTCTACAAGCTAGTTAATATATGCCGTTTGATTGAATATCGCAACCTACCCAATAGTCTCAATCTTTTCATTTCTTTGAGAGGTCTTTGTCCAGAGAGCAATTCTGTAGAATACCTTACGAACAGAAACTACAGCACCACAGATTTCATCTTCATATTGGAACTGTTCACCGAACATGGCAAGCATCTATACACATAAATAAGTTCAACTGTCCGCTCTCACACTGATTTTTTTACATTACCAGATTGAGCCAGTAATCGTTGATAGCTTCACCAGTTCTATTTCTGGGCAACTGTACACTAAATTTACCACCGTTCGCGTTAAAGGGATCTTCCCATTCTGGACGAACACCTTTTTTGAATACGTGGTAGTTTGAGTTGACTTCAAGTATGCTTACTTTGGGAATATTGTTGTAAACGCTATTGAAAATGATAAGAATTGATTTCACCTGAATTCTTAAACTTACCCCCAAAAGTCTTCTACCGTGTTAACGTTGACGATTTCTTTCAGGTTTTCAGACCAATTAGTAGCATTGGCTTTCTTTCCTGGATTATCGAACCATAAAGTCCAAGTGTTCTGAAGAGGGTGCTTCACGTTGAACTCCTTTGGATCGTCAAAGACAGTCTTGGGAGCTCCATCGTCGTCTTGTTTCTCATTATTGGTATTGTCTTCAATGTTGTCAATGTCGCCTTGTGTCTTTTCTTCTACACTAGGTTCTAAAGTGGCATCTTGTTGTGATACTTGTTGGCTTTGTTCTTGTGCTTCAGCAGTAGGATGTGTCTCGTCTGACATATTTCTTTTCTTCCATTAGTCACTTTTTTCTACATTATAAAATGATTTGGATTACCTTTAGTTTTGTTTTTTTTTTTTCTTTTAAAAAAGAGAAAAACTAAGAGTGAAGATTTTTTTGATACCTTGTGTGTGTCAAATAAATTGTGACTAGGAAAAAGCCCGGATCGAGTGTACAGCCAATGAAAGGAACCCTTTACTAAAGTCTAAAAATGTTGGCGAAACCAAGAACAATATGACAGATGCTCTTTATTTGCATATAAAATTGTAATAAAGTTTTGTCTCTCTTCACCATATTTTTCAAGCTAGCATAAGGTGAATATTCAATTTTTCTGAGAGATAGACTTCATAGCGTCCAATACGACGATACTAGGGGGCGGGTATCCATCATGTTGCTCGTATTCGTTTTGCCAACATGCTGATTGTTTGTCGTTCCTAATACAGTCTCAGTTGGCTCCACTCCAGCTCCTAATGTAATAGTGTCCTCCGTTGAAAAAATTGAACTTGTAATGGCTGCACTGGATAATGCTTGAGTAGTAAGGTTTGTAGTAGAACTTCTCGAAAGTATTGGTGTTTATGCTCCAATTCTGGGAGGATAACCCGATGTTGTTTTCGATGTCCTTGATTGTTTCGAAATTTAGTGGTACAGTTCCTCAATTTCTTTAAAAAGAGATTCTGATTTAATTGCACATTGTGGTCACTTTCCATACTAATCTCTAAGATGCGTTGCTGCTTGAAAGGGTTAAAAGAGATGATTTATTGTTTTAGAATGTATCATCTATTAAATAGCAAAGCTTTATGAAATTTACAATAAACCAAAGTGTTCTTTGATATTATTTTGTATAGTTTTGAATGACGCGAATTAGCTTCACGGCCTCTTGAGACACATTTTGCTGTCCTTCTGTCTTTAATATATTGTTGATGGCCGTATCTTGTTTCTTGAGCCACATTTGCACCTAATAAGAGTAAATATTTCTCTTTCTCTTTTTTT